ATTACAAGTAATTTCCTCTCGATTCCGCAAGAGATTCTCTTTAATAATCTTTTCTTTCCCCTTCTCCGCTCGCACATCGCGATTCGATCCGGGAAAACAATTAACGGCGGAGATCGCGGCGGTTCGCTTTCGTTTCCCGTCATCGTTTTCAATCGGCAACGCGGGTTCAAATCGCTCGTAGCTTTTACTAACGGGATTTAATTAACTCCGCTCTCCGAGGGAAGTAATAATGGGAGATTTTATATAAAATGCCGCGGCGCGCGAGAGAGGCGAGGGCCGCTGTCACTCGGGACATCGATTTATTCGGGAAATGCGGCATCATTATTACATAGGTTCCTAGGTAGGATGACAAAGCTTAGCTGCGATACAAAACCGTCTGAAACAGTAGCCGCGACTTCTCCACCGTCGCTCTCTCGCGACGGGAGTATCGAACGTATAATAACTCCATCATACTCTCGGTGTCTCCTATCTCACCAATTGCAGGCGGCAGTCGAAGTTTTAAGAGGATCCCGCTCGAGTTTCGTAAAACGAAACTTGTGATCGTTTCCGCTTTATCTTTGCTTTCACCGATATCTATGCATTGGATTACCACGGTAATCTCCATCAAGTGTGACTTGGATATGATAAATTTCGTTTACATTTTCTCCGAGAAACAGTGTTTCGATATAACTTTAGTATAATATATCCGCGCATGTATAATGTTATACTTCGATAGCCATTTAAATTCAACAGCACCATCGATTAATGAATAGAATAATTTATTACTTCAGCTAGCACTAACGATTAATACTGTCCCAACTCTCTAAAAGTGAATCAGTGAAAACATCACTTATTTTCAGTGTATATAATTTTCCAGTAGTACTTAGAACTGCGATAAACAGTGAGTATTTCAATGTTCTTTTAGTGATAATACACTCATTCAAACAGTGAATTTCACTGAAAGACAATGAGTTTCACTATCAAACCGTTTTGAGAACTGAAATTCACTGTTTTTCGGTGATATTCACTGTTTGAATCAATATATTATAACTGAAACAACATTGAAATATTCACTGTTTATATCACAGTTTTAAATATATCACTATAGAAAATGATATATACTAAAAATCAGTGATGATTCCACCGATTTACCACTTTTAGAGAGAAAGTTGAGGAGACCAAAAAATCAAAGTTAGCTCTCCTTATTGCCTTTTAACGAAATCACATGTATCTGCAGCATCCGCGAGCAGGTGAAGAAAAAAATCGGGAGTATATTCATCAGCGCGGACGCGCAACGGCCGCATCGCGACGCGAGTCCAAGTTTGATTAAGTGGCGGTCGTTACCCGCGCGCATACCAGTATTAGCGAACTTGCTGGGAACTTGTTCATTAATGGATCGGAGCTCTCTCGCGGACGCCTTGGGTAAATCCACGCTGTAATCCGATGGACGAGCTCGTCGGACGGCAATTGAAACTGCCAGCGGCAGCCGAACTGCCGTCCCGGGTCGCCCGCAAGTAATATACGCGCGTATAATTAGTTGCGTCGCACACTCGATAGCGCGCTCCGTTGGGGTGATTTGTTGGACATGGTAATTTTATCGCTCTCGCGCACGTCTACGTGGCGCGTTTCCGCCGAGGTTGTGCAGGAGTCTACTTGCTTATCGCGCGACGGACTAGATGCTATCGAGCCGTCGATGCTAAGAGATAACTTGCGAGTGGTTGTCATTGCGCGTAATTGGCAGTAATAATTATTCTGTCTGGAGAAATACGTCGTTGTCTTTTCAAAACGTAACACGATGTGTTTTATAAAAAAAAAAAAAAAAAAAAAAAAAAAATTATCGAGATGACCAGAGACGACTTATACTTCCAGGCGAACCGAGCGAAAAATATCGGAACGTCAAATATGAAAAGCATCGATACTTCAATGGCGTCGTGATATTAGCGTAGTTAGCGGATTGCAAGCGCTCATATCCTGAAATACGGTCGGTCAGTGGCACGACGAAGACGGCGGAAATTGATGATGATAGAAGAGCGAGAACTTCGCCGTCCCGGAAATTAGTGACTTGAAATAGAACGGGAGAAGCAGGTGCGCTTGAGAAAAAATATTAAGATAAACCCTACCGTTATTACCCATTTACACCTACACATACGTTTATCACTCAAGTCCGCGAGTTTGTTTAGTACTTTCGGGCGTACGTTATAGTTTTTGTTCTTACACAACGCGTATATCTTCACGAGGAATTAAATTGTAATATAAAGTAAAATGTATACTTACTTTTTAATCTTATATTTACACCGGCTTATCATCGTTTCTCCCTGCAATATAATTAATAATGATAAAACTAATGTGTAACGTAAGTAGATTTAAAGCAAAAAATTGCTGTGAAATAGCATGGAGAATTTGAAGAATTCTCTAAACAACGATCAGCTGTAGGAGTCGGGATTGATCGGTCGGTATGGATCAATAAAAAACACGTATGTTTAAAAAAACATTTACATATTTATATATATAAAATATAATACAATTTGTTACAGTGTAGATGATAGTGTAGCGTTTAGATGTTAATATTGAGTGTAAATCGGATAGGTATAAATCTAATGTAAGAGCGTTATGGAAGGATAGGGCGCTCGGTGTATGTATATTATAAAGTTATAAGATGCTCGTGTGTGTGTATTTCCTTTTTTTTTAGCCACACCTATCCGAAATAGGTATCGAGTGTGTAGTAAGGTGCCTATGAGGTTCCCCGGACGTCATTTAAATCTAAAAATCTATGTACAGGACATTCTATGTACACGCACACGCTATTCGCTCGATTTCCTTTATACGCATCTCTCGCGCTTATATACCGCATTATACCGCACCGATCGCCGCGCGCGGGTCCGTGTCTCTCACTCTGTGTGGTTTTTCGAACGGAGAAACGCGAGAACTCGCGAGCCGGCGATCGCTAATCCTCTACGTACAGTACATACATTTTCGATTTCCCGGCCTTCACCGTCGTTTTCGTCAAGCCGCGGGCGACGTTGACATCGACCGACTTTCCGCGCGCTTCAAAAACGGGAATCATATCCACTCGAATTTGGTTCGGTACTCCCGACGGAATAAACATTTTTGTTGGAAATGGTTGGAAGGTGGAAGGCGTCACAGTACACTCGGCGGCGCCGCGAAATTCGATTTTCCAGCGTCGCAACGTTGGATTTTTGCTTTCAAGAAAAGAGAAAAAGTATTCCCGTACTTCGTACTTCGCGCACAATTTGCATGATAAACTATTCTACATATATCACTCTACATATATATCGAGAAAAACAGTTTTGTCGTAATCAATTATTCAGATTACTTACTATTATTTTATAATATGACTATTTTCTATTATTATTTTATATGATTATTTTAAATTAAACAAAGATCAATTTTACGTCTCTTTAATGAATTATTAAATAAATAATGACGCGATAAGAAAGAGAAATATTAATACATACTACAAAATAACATTTTATTAATGAAAATAATAAATAAATTGCTGTAAAGAAGATCGAAGTTTCGAGAAACTCTTGGAAAAACGCCTCGGGTGTTGTCGAAAAGATGGTGAACGCCAGCAATCGTTACAAAAGAAAGATTACCTAACATATCTACGTACGATACAAGATCATCGAGTATAAATGACGTAACACGTCGCGCTACCGTTGTGTTACCTAAACGTAATAATTATCCCAGTTTATTAAAGGACATTTACTCGTGACGCTTTGCTTGATTGTTCTGTTCATATCACCGGCGATTCTTTAGCACCCATTCACGTCGCCGACGATCCGCGATCGAGGAAACGTCAAGAGCCTCGGCATCCGTCGACGATGTTGCATCAATTACTCGAACGAGGACGATCGACATCGTGCGTCGCGTCCCCGCTCGTCGCGCATCGATTATTATACGAGCCCGTTCGACGAAGTTTAAAATTCGTCCGATATTCAACAGATTCTAACATGCATGTCCACGCAATGAAGAAAGAGAGAAGGAGAGAGAGAGAGATATAGAGATCAGATAGAATCGAGAAGAGTGAAAGAAACTATAGCGGAATCGCGATCGAATCCGCGAAATCAGTCGGAGTTTCTTGACTGCGGCTACGTGTACTTTAAAAATGTGGATGGTGTTGTTGCGCGTGCGGGCCGCTATCGAGAAACCTGTATCGATCGACGTGCCAGATAATAATGCCGTCGGATCCCGTCGATAATAAAGAACGAATGAATTTTTTCATTAAAAAAAAATCTTTGTGGGAAAATCTGAAACCTTTCGTGACTTTCAGGAAAAATTTTCTCCGCGCTCGCATTCTCAGGCAAAACGCTTTAAACGCGACCTACACGAACTTACCCGTCGATATGAGAGCGCGCGTTCTATTTTAAACTAACAAATTTCTCGGAAATATCCAGTAACTCTGCGGCAGAAACTCGCCTGCTCGCGGATAACGGGTTATCGGGGGGGAAAAAAAAACACGCCGCGGCGGCCCGGCTCTTTTGCGTAATAATTGTCCGGCGTGTGGCGTTGCGAGTTATCGAAAATAGTTTGCCGAACAACTACGTATACCATCGCGCACAGTTGGGAGGCGACGTCATGCACCGGATTTATCGTCCGGCAACGCCGATCGCTTTCCATAGGATCGCCAGGATACAGTTCCCCGCGTTCTCGCCGGTTTGAACCGAATCCAATCGGAACGAAATATTTGTAAAGCAATACATAGGTATATATACTGCAGTTCTCAGCGATTTCGATTCGACAAGTACAGCTTTTGCTTACGAATGAATGACTTCCGCGCTGCTTGCGACCCTTAAGTAGTCGACGACGATCGGAGTCAGTGTTTCTTATAATATGAATAATTTTTCAGAGAAATTATAAATAAAAAAAGTAATATTTAGTAACGCATAAGTCATTTATTATATTTTGATAAAATCATTCTAATTAGTTCTTTTTTCGTTTAATAAGTTTGATTCGCTTATGAAAATATATTGTGCCACGCTGCGACTGAATGGCTATTGCGAGACACTCTCGAGAATCCCGACTGCTTAAGGGTTAATATACGGCCATTCGATTGCCCTAAGGTCTTCTCTACACACACACACACACAGATTCTCCTATGACATTTACGAATTACCAGTTAGTATTAAATTGTAAAACGTATCTACGTGTCCGATACCGATTAGTCGCGCCTACTTTGAGATTTTATCTATACGAGAGGGAGAGCAGGGAGGGAAAGGAGAGATATTTTCCGATCTAACACCGAAAAATGTGAATTCGACGAAAAAATTTCAAGTTAATTTTAAGTTAACAAAACTCCTCCGTTTCTTCTTTCTTTTTCCGTTAATACCCATGCAAAATTGAAAATCGGTAACAGCGCGTGTTTAGGGACACTTCCGTTTCGTTTGATTTCGAAATGAGGTAGAATAAAGAACAAATCCGAGTCGAGAGTCATTTAAATGGAAATTATCGGGAGAAGCTTCCGAATCGAATGCAAATCGCCATGCAGATCGTATCGTTCAAAACGTTCGTTTTAGCCCTTGAGAACGTTCACGAGTTTACTATAGGCACGTCATCTATATTTATTTGTATCGTGCAGCTGATTGAAGTATGCGGCTAATAATAACATCAATTTTACGATCGTAATAGTAATTATATTAATTAATCAATAAATTGAAGATAAACAGAAACTTTGGTAAAAATCGAATAACTTCATTAAAAAAAAATACATTACAAAATCATAAATCGCTGATCATAGATTTACAGAGTTATAATTAATAACTTAGCCTATACGTTGAGCAATCGTAAATTATCGCACGTTCAAGCGCAGTATCGATTACTCTTCGATATCCCTAGTATGGATAAAATTAATAAGAATCACACAATTTATTGATTTCTCGGCAAATCGAGTGTCCCTGTGTGTGTCTTGACTTCATCAAAATCTCGAAAGAGTGCGAGAAAAAGTGTCTGTGTGTACGTGTACCGTGTGTACGCAACAATGAGAGATGTGTCAAGTCGCAAGTTATATCGCATTTATACATTAAATAAAAAATAAATAATCGCCCATGTACGACAAGCGAGCGTTGACAAACGCGCGTGAATAACGTTACACGTAATAAACTGTACAGAATATTACAAAGAGTCGTCGGGTATGTATAATATACATATAGCGTGTCTATTTATATATTTATATATAAACGTTGGTTAAGTAACACACCCCTTCGTAAAACGCTTCAACAAAAGAGATTACGAATACGATTCTGATAGCGAGACTTATTATTATTATTTTTTTTTGTTAGATTCTCGCACGAAATTTACCATCGCGTGCAAATCAACCAATGCTTATACAATCTTAATGTAAAAAATGCACCTTTATCGCTACGGTCTAATTAACAAAATGTACAGACTTCGGCGAGAACCGTGCGAGCACGACGTAGTGAAGTGCCACACATTTATCGCGCGACCGCCGAAGTTATCAGGACAGTATTTCCCAAACATTGTTTTCCGCAAAATTTTGCGGACAATTTTTATTACAGTAGAAAATACGTTTCTTGCGTAAAATAACGTTACTTTTAGAATTCTAATTTTCCAAATTCATTTTTCATTAAATTGAATATAAAAAAAATTCCTGAAAATTTAAAATCGCAATAAAAATATTGATCTTATTCGATTTAGCTTTCTTAGCTTGATTTGACCTTACACTTTTCCTTCTCTATAGGAAAATATAAGGTAAAAAAAAATCACGATACTTTTTCATCGCATTTCAAATGAATTTGTGATTAACTTTTTATAACGTCATATAACTTGGACGTTACATACATCTATATTTTTAAAATTTTAATGATTTGATCAATATTTTCCATTCACCGGTTGCGTATGATTTTTTTCTGAGCAAAAAAAAATCCGATTACGAAATGTCAAAATTAAATTGGAAAATACCGCACTGAGAAAAACTTTGGAGAAAGCACATGTCGTATCCCTGAAAAATAAGTTCACGAAACGTTCTTTCGCGAGAATCGCGACGTCTCGCCCGGTTCTCGAACAGCAAATAAACAGCCAACAATTAAACTCTTGCGATTAGCTCGAAAGAAGTTTTTAAATTAATATTCCGCTCTGTCGACGAGAATCGCGAAAATTCGCTAGAGATATCTCTCGTTCGGAATCATCGGCCGATGTCGTACGTAAAAAAAAGGTCAAAACATTTCCAATGCTTCTTTTCAAATATAATTAAATGCTACCCACTCCACCCATCAAGATGGAATAGATACATTATAATGCGACCTAAAAGTAGCTTCGAGCGGTAGCGCTAAGGCAGTGTCTCGAAATCGATGATGATAGAATGACTCACGGGCGACGACAATAAATGGCAGCTTTATCAAGGCAGTGCGATCGCAAGACGAACTAATTAATTTAAAGTATAAATGAATAATGCTGTCACCAGTCACTTTCGTATTCAATGATAGGAAGTACTACATTTGCATGAAACGAACTCGCTCGATTTCGATTATTATCATTTCATATAAATGTTAAGAGAATATTAGATTAATATTTACATTCTACAAACAACAAAGTTTAGCTCTCGATTACAAGTTATTAAAAATAAAATGTCACTTAATTTTATTATTATTATTTTTCGTAATATACATCTTATTTATTAATTATAATCGCAGTCCACAATTCAATATGTTTAGTTTATTTATTCCCTATACGCGTTTATCAAGATTTTGTGTAAAAAATAATTTTGCGCGAAACAGAATGATTCATAGGTCCCCTCTGTAATATATATGATACTTCGAAGTTTTGATTATACTTGTGAGTCGATATATCGATGCAATAAATGTGTAGTATATAAAGAACAAGGAAGTTCTCGTGTTATTCATTTCCATCGCATCTTGCATTATTGATTCTAACGTGCTAAAGTACGACACAGAGCCGATGTATTCGTATCCGGGAGATATCCCGCTACGGTCATCCTACGCGAGCACGCGGGACATTGCAGATTGTTCTTTTTTTTTTTGCAACAGCGTACTTCGAATATGGTAAATGCAAATGTCCCGAATATAAATAACAATATAAATTTCGAGTGAAAACTGTCACGACGATTTATAGATATTTCGCATCGCGAGCGTGGGGGGACTTCCGCTTTTACCGTGTTTTCGAAGAGAGTGCTGCTGCGCTCGCAAAAATTCTCCATTACATAACAATGGTGCGCGCGAACGGAAGTCGCGAAAAGGGAAAAGCCGATCGCCGAAACGAGAACACGATAGATCCGATCTCCCGTGGCTCGGTTTTACCGCGGGTGAAAATTAATATGCCGCACATCCACATCCGGCTTCCGGGCCAGCGCAGCGTCATTAACTCTCTCCTTTCTGGACGATTTTTAAATGCTGAGATGAATATTTGATTATCGTCATATCGAGTTTCAAAATCGTATCTATTCTCAAAAGCTATCGATAGTGAAAGAATTGAAGGCTCCATGTAAAAAAAAAGCGAATGCTAAAAATAAAAAACGTGAAGGACATTTTCTAAATGAAGTACACTTTGTAGATGTTCTTCTTCTGAAAATAACTTTCGTAGAATTATTTGCCTTGAGGAAACGAAGTTTCTTTTGGGGTCAAGCTTTCATAAGAGATGCCTCTTTGCAAACAGATCTTTAATTTAATTTAATTTAAAAAATTGTAAAATATTTTTAATTATTTTATTAAGCTTATTTTTATACTCCTTATTTAGATAGCTTTTAAATAGATTGTATTAGAAAAGAGAGAATTAACATTTCTTGCTCGTAAAATCGAATACCGTGTGTGGATGAGATATTTTCGATGACATGCCTCCGTAAAATTACCATAATTTTATTTCAACACCTATAAGTCGAGATAACGTGGATTCGGTAATTTCCTCTACGTTTTCTATGATATATATATATATATATATGTATATAAGTTTCATCTACACCGAATCGAATGGTGATTGCAATTGTCCTTTTCTTCCACTCGCAGAAATTCGACATTCTCGACTAAGGGCTGGCGAATTCTTCGCGATACACGCGTGTATCTTTACGAGCTACTTATTTTACAAATTAGATAAATTCAATTTTTAAATTTGAAGTGAATTAAATGAGACGCGGTTGTAAACTGCTGCGCTATATTTCAGTAAAAATTTTTGCAGAACCTATAGCACTCTAAAATTAAACCGAGATAGCGTCGAGATTACTTCATTGTAAACGTTTCACTATTCAGTATCGGAGTAACGAAGGCCAAAGATGGCTATAACTTCTATTATCTTTATTATCAGTACGAAACACGCTATTGGTACACGGCAAAGATCGCGCCAGCCACTAGCCGTGCTGGAAAGGTCACCCCGCCTCGGAAAAAAAAGAAGTCCGCCGATCGGAATCACCCGAGAACCGAATCCCGCGGGTGCGCTCGGTCTCGGAGGACAGTAACACTTATCTAAATCTAATTAGAGCCGCGTCGCTGAGAGATTGGCATATACTTACGCAAACATATGCACGCTCCAGCTGCTGCTGTTGTTGCACGGTCCGTCGCGGGTTCGATCGCGATGGACGATCATCAGGGCGATCCTGGATCCGACGAGTGAAACTCGAACGACCGCTCGTCCGGCGGCGACGTTCACCTGAACGCCGCGCCGGCGACGACGGTGACGGCGGCCAAGATCACCGCCGCCGATACCGTACGGCCGCAGGAACTACCGGCCGTGGGTCCCGCGTCGCTGCTGCGGGACACCTTGCTGCGCACCAGCTGACCTCGCTCGACCGTGTTCGTCTCCTCGCTGTCGGCAGGCGTGCCGATGTCGCCGTCCTCGCTCAACAGCATCGACAATTTGTTCCGCAGCGGCTTCTTCGAGCAGGGCACGCTCGTCTCCTCCCAGGGCCTGAGGATGCGCGGGTAGTGCACCTCGAGGTTGTCCGTACCGGGCAGGGCGCCCTTACTGCTGCCGCACAGCGGCTTAAACGTGCCGCTGCGAGTGGCCTCCTGGAAACTCTGAAAATTCGACTCCCAGTCGTAGCTGACCAGCCGTTCCTCGAGCGTCATGTCCTTCAGATCCGGCGGCTCCTGGATCATCACCGGGCTGGAACCCCTGCGACAACATCGAAGTCGCCTCGTAAAGTTGCGTGTCTCTCATATTTTACATATTACGTTTCTTTTCATATTTTTCTTTCTATATTTTAATTTAGTCATTATATTACGTATACACTTTCCTTCTATAGCCGTGGTTATTTATACATATTATTAAATCTTCGATTATTGAACATCGAAACAAAGTGTGGTGAACTTTGGATATTCTGTTCAGAATTATTTATGAGTTAGATGTTGCATAACGATGGACAGCACGTCTGATGCGACGTAACGTCTGTTGCTTCTCGGGTCAGTGACGGCTGGCACTTTCGTAATGTACGAGTTGTCCGTAATAGCCAATTTAGAGTGATCAAAGAGTACTCCCGATAACTGCCGAACGTTCATCGTTCGCATACAGCCATATAAACTGACAGCAACGTGCGACCTGCGTCTTAGTGCACCGTCCAACTTTTCTCTCGTCCGTGTGAACGATTTGCCAATCAAAATTTTAATGACAATACAGTAAAGAAATATGAAGAAATACGAGAGAAATATGAACTAGTTAATCGCATAACCGAATCGTAAAACAAGAATTTATATGTGAGATAAATTTTAGACGAGAGCTACGACTAATTAGTCAATTCATTTCAATATTATTAAAAATATCTTGTCAAAGTTTTAAGAATATAAAATATGTCTAGCATTTTTTCGTCTTTTTAACTAAGTGGCGTACTTAAAAATCTGAAGGAGACTTGATATAATCGTATCATATCATACGATTTTTTGTTAGTGGTTATAAATTTGTGAAAATGTCTCTTACTGTTTTAATTTCTGGATTCCCAAGCTGTGCAGCACTGTCGGCAGCGAAGGCAAAGAATAACAAAGAGATAATTCAATGCGAGGATAATAGAGAACGGACACCAGGCAGGTTTCTTCTCTCGTTCCCAGGCCACCGAGCGTAATGGCCGACCGAGATTCGGACGAGTACGTGCATTCGGCGACTAAATGGTCACCCTGTAACATAAGTAGATGAACTAACGTGAGCGTTGATCACTAGACTAAACAGATCTTAAAAATTTAAAAACTTGCAATATATATAATCATTTTGATAAAACAGACAGCAATAGCACGCAAGTTTAAGTCGAAATTTTTGGATTGATCTAGTAAAATCGTTCCTTTATTGTAAACAGTGAAATTTCAACGTTCCTTTTCAATTCAATTCTATTATAATACATTTTTACTCTATGTTAACACGTAATCGCGTTTAAGCTCCCGCCCTGTTTGAGCTCGTTCAAACAATTAAACTCAAGTTCATTCCCCGCATCTGTAGCATGTCGGCACTTTACGTGATCAAAGCTATACTTATTGCACGTTAATAAACTTTATAACAAGCTCATAAACTTTCTGATACGTGCTATGGGTTATAATGCAGCTAGAAGTATGTTCGCGGCACAACTAAAACGAAAGGCGTGCAACGTAGCGGAAACAGAACAGAAAAATAAGAATATATTAAAGGACCGCTCTGTAGAAGACGTATAAGTTTACTCGCAAAGCGCTCAAGAAATAATCTTAGATTTTATTTTCGAGGAAAAAAAAATTCTCTCGGCGGATAGAGTTCGAGATTCTTTTCCCGATTCTTCGCGATCCTTTCTCTCTCTCTCTCTCTCTTTCTTCCGTTAATCGAGGATATTTTATAATTGCATTAGCTATCGCCGTGCGGAGGATGAAGTTTAATAAATTGGCCAATAAATTGGATTTTGATATAACGATTAAAATGAAATCTAAGTTAAGCCGGCAATATTCGATATCTTTCCCTTTCAAATAATTATTATGCATTACTTTGATAGAAGAAGTATCGCGCCAATCCATTGGGAAAATATTATCTCTCGGTATTATTATGTATATACGCGGTGCATCGTACATCATACATCGCACGTCATGCCAGGGTTAAGACTGTACTTACCGGGTACACCTTGACCGGTCTCTGAAGCCTCCGATACTCCTGATAATTGGGATCGTAGTTGGTGTCGGCGGCGATCGGCGGCAGCTCCTCGCTGGCGCGGATCTGCCGCAGGCGGACCTTCCTGCCGAGCTGGTGGGTGTGCATGATCACGGCGAACATGTTAATGCCGCTGTTCGGTATCGTCTGGCCCGTGCAATCGGCGATGCAGTGGCCCTCGGAGACCACCTCGGGCTGACCGGGCGGTATTATATGCCGCCAGTTCGGGTCGATGCCAACGCTGAGGATACCGGCGTCATGGCCGCGCAGCCGATCGGTGTAGAGAAGACGCAGGCCGCTGCTGTCGCTGATGAAGGCGTCCAGCTGCGGGTTCGTGTAGTGGGTCTCCAGCATGTAGTAGCGCGGCCCCGCGTACGGATTGAGCGCGTATCCGGCCTCCGGCGGATAATTAAAGCCCTGGCGCAACGAAAGGGAGAGGGGAAACGATGGATTATGCAGAAGCCGCCAGTAAATAAAAACAGGACCGGCAGCGAGTACGCCGGGGTCCGGTTCTGTGTATCGCGGGGCCCGTTCCTCCGTCCGATCTGGTCCGGTCTGATCCCGCCCCTACCCCGGCGACGTTTCCAGCCTGCTATAATCGGTATATACGCCACGATCCATCAGAGAAACGGACCCCCGATGAAAATTGTCGCTCACGGAATTCGTTTCCTTATTGGTGCATGTACTCGCGAATTATGCCCGGTTAATTTTAATTTTCAGATGATGGGCGAGATAATAATCCGCCCGGTTCGAGGAATCTTGCGGTAATCGCTATCTTCAAAAACGTTCTCTTCGAATCTAAATTTATTAATATAGCCCGGGTAATTTCGATCGTCCGCACCGAACGTGTTTGCATTATTAATGAGATTTTTATTTGAACCCTAAACAGTCAAACTGAAATCCAATGAAACGTTCTCGTTTCGCTATAATTTGTAGGACTAATTAATTACGCGCTCGTCCTGCGGTGAACATTTTCATTTTATATTTATTTTCTGTCTAAGATTTAAATAATAGCCATTTAATAAAATTACTATATAAACTAACATTGGCGAAATATTTTATCGTCACGATTTTTGAAAATCTAATAGATACACTTGAGGACGATACAATAATATAATATTATTGGCGTACATATTTTAGTAGATTTTTAAAAAACAGAATAGAATATGAAAATTAAAATAAAAGTAAGAACGCTGCACCATTTACTGAATATTATACCACATATCACGTGTTATATCAATTAATGTTGTTATCAATATTATTCATCAGTTATTGAGAAAGATATACGAAATCGTCCCGACACGTTTTACGATTGGTTGCAATTTCACAGGACGTTCGTATTACCAATAACCACGAAGAAACAAGTTTGCGGTCTTCCTTCTCTCGCATTGGTATACATTACACCGCAGTCGGAATTATCGCGAAACTCTGAACGTGCCTTGCACGATCACGCACAACATTTGACGAAGAGTCAAGTTTACATAACGCGAAGAGCAGCCGAGACATTTCTGACGATCAAGGTTGCGGACGAAGCAAATAAAATGAATTTGAGATATTTCGCTTATACGTAGAATTCCTCAAATTTTTAAAAGAAACACTTTATATCTCATTTTACTCTCTAACAGTCAAATCGAAGACCTCGATGAAACAATCGAATAACTCCTTTAATGGCAAAATTCAATGATTAAAGTGTTATAATTAACGATCGTTACAGAGCGCGTAATCGATGAAAATAAACAAATTCTGAAAACATTAATATGAAAATCTAATTGTGACTGCAAAAATTCAAACAAGATTAGAAATACCAAATACGGTCTGAAGCGGATCTTGGTGCTTTATAATAATATTTTTGTGTGAATTACAATTTCCAATTTAGGTGAACTGCGCACCAAATATTTTTATGAGACTTGAAGTAGCTCCAAACTGAATTCGGATTATGTAATATCACAAATTAAATTGACAAGCACTTTAATAATTTTTTATGCTAATGAGCATCTCATTTTATTCTACAGAATTTTACAGAATTATATTCTACAGATGATGTTTATGTTAGCATCAAAAATTATTAAATTGCTTGTCAATTTAATTTGTGATATTATGTAATCTGGATTCGGTTGGAAGCTGCTTCAACTTTCACTGAACTAAAAAATTGTAAGATTCACGTAAAAATATTATAAAGATCTGCTTCATACCGCATTTGGCGTTTCTAATCTTGTTTATAGTAATTAATATTAAAATAATATTCTAAAATTTGTACTTCGTAATCTGTACTCCTAATATTCTAAAATTCTAATATTCTAAAATTTGTACTTCGTAATCTGTACTCCTACATCTTTGCGATATCCGTGCAACGCAGACGCGATTTCCGCGTCTACCGAAAACTTGCTAATATGCAGGAAACACCTTGGTGCTCGACGCGGTCGAGGTCTTCGGCGTGTGGAGAGTAAGCGAAGTTTTCGACATACCTCAGACCCGAGGCTCCAAGTGGCTGCGATCGTGTTGCATTGGTATTTGGGTTCATCAGGAACGTAACAGACACTCCCGGTCGTTTCAGCCGCGGATTCCAATTCGGCTTGATCTCCGCGGCACTCGTACAGGGTCATGTGGTGAAGGTATTCGTGGCTTCCCGGCTGAATAACTGGTTCGTACTGAAATACAGAACAGGCGTGCGAGCTCGTAACGAGGATTAATGTCGAGCGCATTTCGGTCGTGTTCGTAACGTGTTCATAACTCAAGAACAACGTATGCATCTTGACACTTTTATCGCGGTAGAATCGATGCTGAAATTGATTGAAGAAACCGCGAGTTTCAAGTGGAAGATTGTCTCGTTTATTCGTACAACTTAATCAGATGGAGAAAAAAAATTGTTTTTTCCAAAGTTCTTTATTTCCTCCGAAGTTCTCGCGACGCGTCGTTTTACAGGCAATTAATCTGGTCAACGACTCGTGTATTCGCCGTTCCGATGTAAAGCAAAGCGGATGCCATTGAATTAACTATATGGCTATAATGGAATATCAGCAGTTACGGAAAGAGGAAGGCACTTCGCACCTTGATATAGGCGAAGTGTCGTTTCGAGCAGCTCGGAGAAAGCTGTTCGAGCGCAAAATTGGCAAAGAACGGTCTCCCGATACGCAAGTCGATACGCGCGTCGGTATTCCTCGCGCCCCCACGTCGTCAGGGAGAAACGTGCCGTTTCGATTCCCCTCGCAATGGGAGCAACAAATTAAGGCGCCCGCCGATACCACGGTTAACGGCGGCTCACTCGACCGTTAACCTCAGAATGCCTTGATACTCCGTCAATAAAAGTTCCGTAAAATGCGACGAGGGGAGGGAGGACGGGAGAGGGAGAGGAGGAGAAGGGAAGAGCCGGGTATCCGCGCTTTTAAGCGCTTGAGTTATCGCCATCGAAACGCTAATCGTCTCTCCTCCTGTACCCGCGCCGCCTGTACCCGCGATAGGAACACAGAGCAATCGCATCGCGCAGTTGGGTCACGTCCGATCGAGTTCGAGATTCAGGTGTCGGTCGGTCGACCGACGGTGGATGGAGCGAACTATATCAGCCAGCCGTGAGCCAACACCCTATTCGGGAACACCCGGGTGCGGATATGAACATCAGCGAGAGCTGAAATACGATAAAGTGGAAAAGGGAGAAACATAGAAAAGGGAGAAACAAGATTCAAGTAATAAGAAATAGAATGCAATAGTATAAAGAAAATAGAAATGTACAAGTGAAATATATATACATGGAGAGAGCTTTTTGCGGGTGAGCTACCGCGCGGAGGATCATCTATCATTTCACTTGTCCCGGTTTTCCCAGTTTAACTTGTCGGATGTTATATCGGGGGGGGGGTTAATAACAACTGGGTAAAATTCGAATATAACTAGGTGAGATTTTATTGAGTTATCGTATGCTTTGCGAGACAGGAAAAATATAACTAGATAAGCGTAAAATTGGAATTACTTGAGGAAATTATCTCTCGGTCCGGATTATTCGCTGACATAAAATTCGCGTCGAATGAAAAGTCAAAATAGGCGAGTACATAAATTCTAGAATTTATAGCATTTACGATCTTTCATATCAAGAGCTCCATATATTACATCACTTCATATCTAATCGCGTAATTTTCTTCAATTTACAATCAATTTCTCCTCAACATATATTCATAAATTTATTCGTACGACGTCTATTAACATACATTAAATTTGGGACATACTGTGAGTAATTTTAGACACAATATCAATTTTTTATAACTTTTAATAACGTCTGAAAATGTAATAAAATCCGTAATCGTATAATAATCGTATAATAATAGGATCATTTTTCATTCGCTGCAGTTTTGATTGTGAAAAATGAAGCAGTAACAATATACCGGAAAAACATTAACATAAACAATGGATTCCGTCGACAACAGGATAACGCGTCTCGTTGAATTCGCAAAAGTGAAGATCGGCAAACTTTTACCGTCTGTCTTCGCGCTTTACCAGTCAGGTCGATTCCGATTTTTAACACGCAATTTGGAGAATCGTGCATATCTGCATCGAAATGAAACTTATCACTAACGTGAATCGATATACGCCGCAGTAGGTAATACAAGGTTTACGATCGGCTGCTTTGTCACTGTCGTGTTTATCGATGACATCTCGTACATCGATCTGTCACCGTTGATAGTGAAACCGGCGGCCGGAACAGCGAAATGATCTCGCCTACCGCATTGATCCTGCCATCATGCAGATCCGCCCATTCCGTACGTTCACGATGAGATAAATGTTTCATAGCCGATCGACATGCATTCGGCACGCAAATCGAAGATCTTTTTATAATCGAGCGAGCAACGCGATTATTTTATTGTATTTGTTGTGCCTGTCGTAAAAAAAACAGCCTGATATATACAAGCTTTGAGATAAAAACTTTGAGAATGCATGTGCTTCATTATATTATTTGAAAACCAAAGATAATTATAAGAGCTGAAACACACATCACGCATACGCACACGAAATGTTTCATGAGCATATCAAGACACTTCAAAATCGTACTTAATTTTTTTTTAAATTTACGATCGAGGTATTATTTAAGAGACCACCAAAAGGGATGCCCGATTGTGAGTTAAAACAACAATTCTTTCTCTTACGTACGTCGGGATATTTCTGAAAGAAATCGTCGACCATGATTAATCGCCCGGTATAAAACATCGTAACCTCTAGATTATCATTTTGCGCGGCATATTTATCGGACGGCTACCTGAAGATGTTGCATCTTCAGACGCGAAAACACGCGAGGCACAGAAGATAACTCCTGCATGGGGGTAGAGAGGATGAGGCGGAGGGGGGGGGAGAAGGAGGGAGATAGGAGGGGCGAGTCGGCAAACTCGACGTGCAGTTTCTTCGGCATTACAAGAGCATCCACCTTCGCTTTAATCAAGTCGGAGAGCGGCGGGCGCGCGCGAGCTACCGTAAACGGGTTATATACCTGGAGGAACTCACCTTCACGACGTGGTGTTTCTGATTAATGCTCGGCATCCTCAGGACACGGCACCAGAGCAGCGTGTCTTGCCCCATGGGTAAACGAACCTGCGCAGCAATTCGAATGGTACTTCGTTAAGCGAGTATAATTCTATGCTAGAAACTAATGGATAGTGTCGCTACATTGGGACCACTGATACGCCGTATCGGCATCGGCGTCACGGGCAAGTGTCGATGCGGCACACTCTATCGGAAGGAAAATGATCCTGATATATGCAATGCATTATATACGTACATTGAGGAAAAGAAGTTGTTGAAATAACTAAATGCGTTTTGTTGACAAAAATACATATCATAAATATACATATCAACACATTAACGTGATATTTTCGTGAATTAACAAGTATTTTGTTAAATTAACAAATAATGTGAGTGTTTGACAACCCGTGGTCGCCGTATATAATTGAATTAAGAAAATATTTTTTTTTAATACTTTTTTTCTTAGTGTACGATACATACATGCATTTTAAAACAACTAACTGTAAAGCCAAATTGGAGAAATATGAAAATATATTACAAATTTAAATTAAAGAAATTAAGACTCCTATGAATAAATCATAAATAACTAAATAGTGCCTATATTACACATTACAATATACACGGATATTGATGTGTAATAATTTTATCGTTTGCAATATCCAACCACAGAAACTGTGCGTCGCATTTTTGTCGTTCTTAAAACACAGTCCTTACATGAAACCAGGCACTATTTAGTTATTTATGATAATTTATATTATATACGTATTTATATTTTGATCTTCAAGAATATTGATAATTCCCATTAAAAAAATTACAATTTATATTTTCTACTATAAATTCTTAAAATGATAAACTAATAACAAAATTACTGCAAAGCTTTAAATTAAAAGTTAAATACAAAACAGACTAAAAATATTAATAAATTAAAATGTTATTTTAAAGTGTTATTTATAATAAAATATAAACAATACTTTATGTGTATTACGATTATTGATATTATATCAGATATAATCAAATCGCAAAAATATCAGACAATTTATCGGAAAGATACTTTTATGCCATAAATATTTTATTGTACCGCTCTTCATATTACTTATTACGATAATTTCACTCAAACACCTATTATATTCCATTTTAAAAATAACTGTCACTTAATAAGAATTTCTTTTGTTGGGATAAATAGCAAGAAGTAGAGAGGAAAATTCGGGGAACTTAGCTACTTGATGCATACGTCAGGTTAATGGTTTGTTACAACGGAGTAAGAGCAGTTAAACGCAAATATATACGAGAAATTCATTACCATATTTTCCGACGCCGCGTGCGACTTACGTAACAAGGTTGCAAGTTGCTTTTGTGATATACGAGCCCATTTCGCCCTGTCTCAAAGCGGCGCCTTCCACGCCACGCGACTATTTTGCACAGTTCTCATGCACGGCCGGGCTCTGCATTGTGCACGAACGTGTTGCCGAGTTTTTCGGCACGTATAACAGAATAAGAACTGCATGTACCGGCGTTAGTTGCGTTACTTGTTCTACGTGTTTCGCTCGATATATACACAGCCACCCCCCTCCCGTATTGTTACGCGCGTTGTACGTATTGTTAACGTGCGTTGTACGTATTGTTGCGAGCGCATATTGTTCAAAACGGTCTCAAAACGATACTTCGTAATACCGGTAGGCATCGCTTAGCTGCACCCGGCTGCATTGTACACCCGATGTACACTCGATTGTTTTGACATGTAGAGCAGAAGATTTATAAATGGTGAAATGAAAAAAAAAACAAAAATATTTAGTTGACATTTATAAAAATTTCTCCAACGCGGATCGAATGTATGTGCTCTATGGTATATGTTGATTTCGCGTGATACGACTCGTTTTTGCGCCCGCTTATCTGTTTCACTTGTTCTCGTCGATGATACGTCACGATCCCGTTATTATAACTAATTGTACAACTTATACATGGTTTTGCAACTCCGATCTGGTTAATTATACGCCTCTTGCTGCACGACAGGATAAGAATTACACGTGCCAGTATTAGTTGCGCTACTTGTCCCCCGATGTATCTCCCATCTACAAGTCAGATTCTACCGAATTACTCACGAGAGTACGAGATTTCGTGCATCAATGGAACCACACTGGCTCGGGTCGTTGCAATGTATCTCGGTAAATACGGAGACCCAAGGGAAGGGCTGGGGCGCTGGTGGGTCGTTTCGAACTGCCTCGCCGCGGGGCGAATGGACGACCGTATATAGCGTCCGAGAAAATTACAATTCTCTTTTTCGCGCATCTCCCCCCTCCCCCTCCCCTCTCCTCACTGAGTCGAACCCCGGCTCCCGCCCTAAGCGCTCGAACCACGCCGGCGGATTCTCCCACGCGCTTATGCGAAATTATCGATGCCGAGATTACCGGGAAGGACGAGAGCGCGTTTATTGTTTTGCGGTCGAGCACGCTCTGACGCCCGGGGCGCGAGACGGAGGGATTTTTAAGGACCTCGCGAATGCATTTCCGATTTCTGCGCCAATATTAAGCATCGAACTATCTTCGTCATTTCGAGAAATGATCTTTTTTTTTTCATTGACATTCGCAAAGCGACGTGAAATGTTCGCTAATAAAAGCTGCAAAAACTTCCATTGATCAATAATAAAACAATGGTGCATGTATAGTCTCGCATAAGCTACATGACTGTTTGATTTATAATTCTGAATTTGCTAAAATAAATTCAACATTAATTAACATAAATTCAACAAAAACTTACTACGGGAATATGATAGTATTCGGAAATGTGTGGCGAGAATGTAAAAATTAACGAACCAGTAGCAATTCCTCTAACAAACGGGAGAATATATCGCAGAATTTGAAGAATGGTGCAATGTAAACCCATTCCTCATCAGCCTCGTCTTTGTGACTATTCTTCTATTCATATTCATCGTAGCGCGATACAAAAAGTTACTCGACCGTTCAGTAACTTTTGCGTACCAAGTTAAGAGGGAACTTTCTCGCGATATTCATACGAAAAAGAAGCGCAAGTCGAAATATGCCTACATATAAATATAATGCTAGTAATGTTCTAATAGAATGTACAAATATAATTATAAATAAATAAATAAAAATGTTAAATTATTATTTGAAATATTTCAATATTTTGACACTGACATTAGAAAGGGGATAAATTTATTTTGAATGATAATTTCGAGTAAACTGGTCAGCGAGATAAACATTTTGAACGCTTTACGTTTCGTTGTCATTTCATTTATTATTTTCTATAGCCAAAAAAATTCGCTATTTACTGGCAAGCGTTACATTTAAACACATACCTAAAATGCAAAATAATTTTCCTACACATTAGCACATAAGTTCTCTTTAGTTGCGCTCTAGTTTCTCTTTACGTTGTTTACATGTAAAGTAAAAGAAACATATGCTGTTTCTTTGAAGAAGGAAAGAAAACGAAAAGCATGTACGTACAAAAATGTAGCTAAAAAAAGAACGGACCTGTTATCCCGATTATTCCACAAGAGCGGTCGTAACGAAGTCTTTGTAATGTGAACGGCCAGAAAAATCTCGCTAAAAATCTGGCGAAATTCGACAGACTGGAAATGTATTTACGAGCGAATACATTCCGTGCGAGGCGCTTGCTTGTCTCAAGCGATATTACATGGTCAACATTTCCGGGTCGTTTATCAGCGACGTCCAGCGAATGATCTTGCACTTTTTCGCGGGCCAACGAGCGGGAATACGCGAGCGTGGCCCGATTCCGGTCTCGATATAAACTATAAACAGCGGCGGGGCAGACGGTGTGTGGAATTAGCATTGTCCGATTCTCGGCGATAGCGCCCCGAGACCCCGTAATCTACGACCCGGCGACGCTAATGAACGAATAGTTTTTGCCGGATGTGACCCGGTTAAGATTTATGCCGTCATAAATTCGGCACACAATGCCTCCTCTCTTTCTTTCTCTCTCTCTCTCTCTATCTCTCTTTCTCTCGGTAACACGGCGCTGCGTGATAAAAATCCAGTCGCGCGCGTACCCAGCTAAATGCATTCGAACATTCATCTCACGCACGCGTTGTACATACGCACACGCGACCCGTACACGTGTCTACGGAATGACGGAAACAAAACCGTATGACGAGAGAGCTTTGAAAAAGCTTGTTCGCGTCTCGGATCCGGATAAACGAATTTGATTCGCCCGCGTCTCTGCACGCCGACATCAAAACGCCGATCGCGCGAAACCAGATTCTCTCCCTTGTTTCGTCCGTGAAAATTTTTAACTCTCTTTCACTCGTTCTCTATTTAGGTTTAGCTATACGAAATATACGAGATAACTCCCAACTTTCGAGGCTCAAAAGAAATCAAGTGCTGAGCGTTATCAGTTATTTGTTTTTAGCATCTCGTGCCGGGGAAATCTTTTTACTTTTTACTCTTGCAAGTTTTCAAAAAGTCTTCAAGCACGAAGCTAGATATTCTCGGTTTAAAATTTAATGTTGAGTTAATAACGAGTTACAATGCCGACGATGATTCTTCAGCGGAGCCTGAATAAAGTAACTTTAGTTATCTTAAATACTTTCATGAAACCCGGCTTGAATCTGCCCTCCGCGCAAATCGAGTCCAATATCACAACGCCGATGGCAGATCCACTTTCGTGAACTCTAATTAAAACTCTTTAATCGTCTTTGTTCGCACTCGCGAATTTCTCCGCGGTCGGGATGAATATTAACTTTGTTCTTGTTTCTTGTCACGTGCCGTCGTAATAACGCAAATCATAATAAATGCAATGTGCGCCAACTGCTCCTCTCTCTCTTTTTCCCCCTTTCTCTCTCTCTCTCTCTCTCTCTCGCTTTTAATTACATCTGGAGCGAAACGAAATATTTCCTTCTTCAGCTAGTTAATCTTATTCGTTAAGTTATTTATCTCGACAGAATCTCTGTATCGTATTCATCGTATCGTAGCGTCAAGTGTGATTTTTATCTCACTCCGGACGCGCCTTATGAATATGAGAATTTAAATGTTAAACGAAAATGTAGCCTCTCACAACCCACCTGCTTGTTCAGAATGTCCCAGATCTTGAGAGGCGGCTCCGCTTCCTGATTACGCGAGTTTCGTCTCGGCTGCGCGTCCCTTTGCACCAGGTACAGCGGCCTCGATCCTCGCACTGCCCCGTGATCGGGCAAGATACCGGCCGCTGACACCGGCTCCTCGACGTGATACTGCCACACCACTTGCATCGTGTCGTTCTGAAACACAAAGGACGGCCCGAAGTCAAACCGGGTGTCTCGTTCTCCGCTTTTTGCCGCCGAAAAATATCGATAGAGAAACCGGGGCTTACAAAGGGGCTTGCGGCTTTGTACTCGGGGCGCCATAAAAATTGCTGCTTCCCGGAAAAGAGTTACCTCCCCATACGACGCGAATAAACGTCCTCTGCCGAAGATTGCGCGCTCGGCTGCGTCTTTTAATCAAACCTTTTGTAAAATTTACGATCAAAAATTGCACTAGCCGAACCACTGTAAGCCACTTTGAAAAACTTCAGAAAATAAGAAGTGAAATATGCGCATTAGTTTCTATCGCTAATGTAATTATAAAATAGAGTTAACACGTTTTTTAAATAGAAGAATATTTGTGTATATATTGAATATGAATACATATTTCATATGTGAATTATCGTAGAGTAACGGTGCAAGGCATTTTTTTTTCATTTCTCTCTCTCTCTTGTATATGACTTTTAATAATTCTGTAATTAAAACCCCGGACTCGATTATATTTCCGACCACCCAGGGTGGCGTAAGCCTTTCAGCACCCCTAGGCCCGCGAGGGGAGGTCGATTTCTCTTGGCGCGCGCCAATCATCTGCGGTCATGCTGCGGGCATACGCGATTCATACCCCCCGGAGAAGAAAGGCGGCCATCGAGGGTGGTCGGGCCATATACCGAATACAAGCGACAATGTCCCGTCGTCCGCCTGTCGCGGTTGCCCGCGAAACGTACACGTGTCCAACCGCGCCAAACTTGGGGTCGCTTTTACACAAGCAAGCCACTTACACGTCGCGGGACAATCGCGCCTGATTGGGGAACTGACCGTACGCGGGCTCGTTAACCGATCCGTTCCAAAAAAAATGTCACTCATTGACGCGAGTGGTAGGAATAGAAATGAGAAGTGCGCAGTTATTGCCAGTCGAATTTGCGAGTTTGTAATCAAGGTAATTTCTGCATCGACGTTGATCTTTTCAAGTGGTAGCAGACTCTCTCTGTCGCTTTTTTTTTTTAATCTTTAATCGATTGATCGCTCATTTACTGATGGGCTAAAGTACGAACTGAAATATATGAAGACCGATGGATGGATTAAATGAGAAGTGGGATCTCTCTTTCACATCAAAGATGTGAAAAATTAGTATTTTTTTTAGTTTCAATTTTTTAACACGCACATAGAGTATTCGATTTATCAGATGTACGCAGAGGATTGATCACATTTTCCAACGTAATTTTTATCTCCAAATAAATCATAGGAAAGAAAATCAATAACTATTTTTATTAGTAAAAAATGATAGAGATTGTAAAAATGCGTACATCTATATTAAACTTAGCGAAACGCATTAAAATATTTGCGACAGTAATTTGCCTGAGAAAGTCACCTTAAGGCATTGGTTCAGAAATATTAAACCAGGTACTACGGGAATTCGCATCCATCATATTCTCGATCGTTATCGACCCCTGTCTGCCGCCATTAACGTATCGGAGACCCAGATTAAGAGCGTACTTCGCCACTCTAGACACGTCTCGGCGTGGAGCAAAAAATCGTCGGCGGAATCACAGAAGTCTCGCAATCGGCGACGTACGGGATTTGCAAACCGCTCACGTGTTACCCATTCACGTTCCTCGATAATCGCCGAGTCCTCACGTCGCGTCTATCCCCCTTCATCGAGGAAGAGACTCCCCCTTCCTCACGTCCGTTAACTCCGTCGCGGATAATCGTCGGCGCACCTACGTTTGTTTCCGAATTGGTTGAGACAATCGGGCGCCATTCTCGACTCGCGGGGAAGCGAGGAGGTAGAAGATACGACGTGGCGACCCAGATCCCGACAGATCGAAAGATTCCTGAGGCCAAGATGAAAGGTCGATCGGAGGAAATGGGCATCGCTCTGAAAGGAACGAGGTGGGAATCACGCGATACGCCGTCGATCGATTCCGGAGACGCCCTTCGAACAAAGTTATGCACACTCTCCGTTGTCCTCTCTTCGATCAACCGCGTTACAGATTCTTTTCAGAAGCACGCTATACATGTTACAGTGTGTTTCGAAAGCACAACCAATTTTAATATCAAAGACCGCGGAGCTGCAGGTAAATAACGTTACCTTGTTCTCTAATGAATTTCACAGACGAACTACATACTTTCATTTTACACGGCTTGTTTATCCATATAACATCGACAATTAAAAGGCTGCGAAAAAAAGGTGATTATTAAATTTTCGTGACAACGCGAACATTGATTCTGATCACAAAACTCATAATTTAAAGAAAGCGCGATTAATCTCGGATATTATACTTTTTTTTTATTAATATTTTTAATACGAGCTAAATTAAATCTCTGTTTTGTCATTAAAAACTCTTATCGCTTTTTTCCCTGACTTCAAACGAGGTTCCTGCCTAAGGACGATAATAAATGCGTCTTTTCCGCTCTTTCTTTCTATTTCTGTGTTTTCTTCGTACACAAAGTTTGTAATTAATTCGGAGAGTTCTGATATCTCATATTTCATCGTGACAGTTCTGACATGATTTCACATTTCATCTTCCATAATGCTGAATGTCACGATTCATGATTGCATAATTACTTTTTATTTTATCTTCTTCAGTCATTCTTCAAGTCTCTTTATTTGCCATAACTAAATTATCTTTCTCAGCTACTTTTTAGCATCTTTTTAGCATTCGGTAGTCCTTCAATTTGCAATCGTTTGAAATATTTTAATTGTTACGACATTTGTATTGTTACACAGTGCACTTTCATTAAACGACTTACAAAAGATTTTACGTTACAGCAAATAAAAGACACAATAGATATCGTGTCTTTTATCTTCTATTTCGGTACATTCTTATGCAGGAGTTTCGCAGAAAATAGTAGCTTGTGAGTCTCGTTGATCGTCGGGTTCAAAGAACGCGGTGCTATTGTGAGATTCGAGTGCGCCGTTCGCGATGTGAGTAAGCCACGCGCTCGATCTCAGAGAAATCCTGATTTAAAAGATCCACCTAACCCGCTGCATCCTTAAGTAGATCGGCAAAGGAAGAGCGATGTGGAGAGAAGATTCTTCCGGAAGTGGGAACGATATATCGACGTTTGTAAGGCTCATTAAACGAGGATATGATCCGTGCAAAGCATAAACGCGCAATTAATTATCGCGAAAATGCTTATTAGAGGATGCTCATTAGATGCAAGAATTTGCGGCATAATGAAGGAAAGGTGTATGTATAGTGTAAACAATTAGAAGAAAATCTTCAAAATAAAAGGAAATAATATTATAGAAATTTAAAAAAGGTTTCGAATATTATATCAGAATTTTTTAATAATTAATAATTATGAAACGGGTTTCTACTCATTACTTTATATAGGTATCTGATAACATTTTATTGTTTTTTTACAATAATACAGACCGAATACGATACAAAACTGTTTAAAAAAATTTTAACTAAGTACACATGCTAATTTATTTTTCTTTATTTAATTTACATTACTTTTTCCAAATGTGAATTGTAATAATCAATTAAATATGCTCTCTCTTATAAGCGAAAGTTAATCGTCTGTTGTATGTTTTAACACGGCAATACTTCCATAAAAAGGTATCCTTGCTAAGACATATGAGTAAGATATAAAACAAAGAATCTTGTTTGAAAGATATAGGCTAGATAACTTCGCGGGACAAGATGTAAGCAAGAAGACAAACGGAACGGATTTGAGATTCGAAGACATTCCCTACTAACTCAAGCGACGTTTCTTTCGCGGGACAACTTTGTTGTTCGTTGTTCTCGCAAGCCGTAAATCTCTTCCACTTGTTCGTTTTGCACACCGACGTCCCTCTCCTCTGCCTTGCGTATCTACGTTAGGAACAGTCGTAGTTCGCAATTATCCGTTCCAATAGTCGTTGGGTCAAAGGAGAGAGAGAGAGAGGAGAGGGAGGCAGAAGATCCCATTTCGCAAGTTAAAGATGTCAGCCGCGATGTGAGCAAATGGCGCGCGAGTTCCCTTGGAAACCCTGGCATAAAAGATCTGGGCCACGTGCTCCGTGGAATCCCAAAGTTGAATGCGAAGAGAGAAGGAGAGCGAGAGAGCAAGAGAGAAGGGGGCGGAGGGGATGGAACGAAGGGAGCGTGGTACTATAATAGCGCCTAATAGAGTTCCCCTATTACGCCAAGCGAGTAAAGTTATTGTTGTTGTGGAATTCGTTTTTGGAACCCCGAAAACGATTTCGATCGTGACGTTAAAACAATTTTCCGAGCGACAATAAACGGACCAATATTATCCTATGGCTAATTCGATCTTGGCATTTGACAATTTAATATCTAGAAGTCTCCGATAGACCAACATAATTATCTTCATCTGATTTAGTAGGTACTACAAATCCGCCAGAATTAAAGGTTGATGTCATCTGGATTCGAAATCCAATGTAATATTGACGTTACTACAAAAAGGGTTGCAATAAAGGGATAACAAATGGGAATCATTCGGTCGAGCACGCGAACTGGTCTATCCTCCGAAATTGAAAATCCACTTCTTTTCTCTCTCTCTCTCTCTCTCTCTCTCTCTCTCTCTCTTCCGAAACTTCCCACCCCTGTTCCTTCCTCTCTTCGGTATTACGCCAGGAATCGTATCTCACGGCTAACGTCGCGCGGCAGTCGTTGAATTTAAGGGGCGTACCCCAATTTCGGGGTTGAGAGATATCACTTGCTATGTGAGCAAATGACGCGCTCTTCCTTCCTCGGAAAACTCCGTTTTAGAAACTCGATAACGCTTCCCGCTTTCAAATCTTCACTTCAGCGGCTTCGGAGGCTGAAGGAAAAAAAAAGGTTCGCAAAGGGACGACCCTCGCGTTAAAGATGGCCCCTTAAGTAACGACACTAAACGTATTCAGGAGGCAGCTTAGAATTCAGAAGTGATCAAAATTTAAAAGAGACATCGAATTGAACGTGTATAAATTTTTCAGCGTCAGTGTCAAAATATCAAGAATATAATAATTTTTAGAATTAAGCTCATTT